CTGAGCCGGTGAGATTTGAACTGCCGAACTACAAATAACAGTCAGCTGAAGTGGCTGTAGTACAGCACTCTAACCACTGCGCAACCTCGGCTCTTTAATTGTTGGGAGAAAAATGTGAGGTGAAAACTATGTTGGATATGCTAGCTGCCTCAAACTATTTGCAAAAGTAATAAAGGTAGAATACAAATAAATACATAAATCCATAAAAATTAACCATATGTTTGAACAGACGCGAGTTTCCTTCTGATATACTTCAAACACTGATGGAAAAAAATTACAGTGAACATATTGTTGATAGATTATACTGTTCTCTATTTTCAGGAGGAAGATAGCTGAGTATAAAAATGTACATTTTCAAAGCAAAATTTGTGTGGGTTTAGCGGAGTATTTGCCCATTAAATCTTCACACCTTTTTTTTGCTGTGCATCAACATAAGTGCTGAGCATTTCCTTTCTAAGAAACCCTCTTAACATTTTGATTGTGAACATGCATAAAAAGAGTTAAATATTGATAAAAAGAAGTACAAAAGGTAAGATCACCTGGAAGTTTGATAGTTTTTTATTAAATATGTGTTTTTATTTGTTCTCTCTCTCTCTCTCTTATACCACATTGCAGATCTCGTCTTGCAGACTTTTTCACAAACTGCCAGCCTGAGTCACGGTCTGTTAGTAACTGCCTGAAAGAAAACTATGCTGACTGTCTCCTTGCTTACTCAGGGCTTATTGGTAAGGCTTATTTTGGGGGAGCATCATTTTCTTTTAATATTTAAAATATGATTTGTTGTTTGATATCAACAGGAGAAAAGAATAATGAGAAAAAAAACAAAATGCATGGATAACTTGAAGTTTGTGTTGGCTATACAAGACTAATTTTAAAATGAAAATCAACTTACTTCCCCAAGTTATAATCTCATACATAAAGAAGCTAAGATTGAAATGAACACAGATAGGAAAAAGGATGCCAAGGGATTGGAAAAGCTTCTATAAAAGGAAAGATACCACATAGGTACACTATTTGCAAGAATTATTTTTTTATCCAACATTAGTTCAGGGTATATTGTCACAGACTAACAATTCATTACTTTCCACTGCTTCAATTCATTCACATAATCTGACAAGGGAATATCACATAACTAGATCTTCTTTGAAAAATTTGATGAATTGTTTATAAAACATAGGCCTACCATTACCTTTTTCTTCTGTAGCATAGTTTTGTTCATAAAATAAAGCCACTGTTATGTTCCTCTCAAGGTCATGGAATATCCCATTGCTTTGAGGAACCGCCTTCTCTAACTGGACGACATCCAGACACAGGGACTATAATTCCCATAATTCTGAACCTTGCCATGCTGACTAAAAATCTTGAGACCTGAAGTCCATACTTTGCAAGGAATTTATATTTAGGAAGACTGCTGTAATGAACATGCCATGAAATTGCATGGCAGGTATCCTAATGAAGTTAGAGATCTTGTAGTTTTCTATAAAGAAATAAATATAATTTACATCTATATATACTCTAAACAAGATAGTCAGGCAAACAGGAGCATCATCCGGTAAATCGCAGAGCATACAGGGCATACAGAAGAAAAAGAGGGGGGGGAGAAACTCCTCCCCCCATGCCCACAGCAACCAATCACAGAGCAGATTGTTCACGCAGGAACTAGCAATCTCCATCCAATCAACTATTAACTGTGTGTTTTGGCTAACTACCCAACCTCACTGCTCCAACTACTAAATTTAAATATCTTAACAGAACACTTCTTATCAGCACAGCTTGCAAATATTCTTGGTGTGACTTGCCTTCATTTTAGGAGTTCACCATCCATCAGAAGCTCACAGTGTAATGGGTCAACAACAACAATTGAGTTCTTCTTGCAACATTGGTTGTTGATGTTGATGTTGATTTTATTTATATGCCGCCCTTTTCCCCGAAGGGGACTCAGGGCGGCTCACAACTCAACTAGGGAAGTGGGATACAAACAAGAATTTAACCGACATAAAAATCATTGCATAATTAAAACACAACAGTCATACCAATTCGAGGCGGGGGCAACAGTTCTTTAACCCCAGGCCTGTCAGAACAGCCAGGTTTTAAGGGCTTTGCGGAAGGCCTGGGGGGGGGGGAGAGTTCGAA